CTTTTCTTGAAATAGGTAAAGGTGCACTGGAAATAACTGTTAACATCTTACATTCTTATTAGAGAATGGCATTCAAACTTATTTCAGAGAGAGTGTTAACTTAATATTTTTTTTTTTATATATAAAAGACCAGTGTGTGGGATCTCCTAAATGTTAAACACTGGCCCTTTAAGGCTGCAACTAACAATTATTCTTATATTTCATTTATCCTTAATTTTAATCATTTAATCTAGATGCACTATATCGTTGATTATTTGATTAATTGTTTAATTTATACAATCTCAGAAAATAGTGAAAATACACAATTTCTTAAAATCAAAGTAACATGTTAAAATTGTTTGTTTTGTCCAACTAATAGTTTAAAACTATTAAAAATCCTAATAATTGAGAAGCTGCAACCAGAGAACAGTTTCTTGAAAAATGACAGTCAATTATAAAAATAGATGCTGATTAATTAAGTCAATTGTCTTATCAATTAATAGACTCTTTAACTATGTTAATCTTAAACATTGTGTGTGTAGTTGTGTATCTCACAGCGACGCTGATCATCTGACATTCAATGTTTTAGGGTCACACAGCAACTCTGTCTCACACGCGATGGTGACCTTAGCTTTATGGTGGCAGCTCTCTTGATCGACCAGATAGTGAAACTGTTTCTGCGAGAGCGTCTTGTAAGCATTCAGCGATCCTCTGGGTCTGAGCGGGAACCGAGTCCTAGCCCCGTGGAGAGGTGCTCCACTGTGGGAACTGGAAGCTGCCTGGTGTGTCGCAAACACAGAGCGGTCTCTGTAGACCCAACATGGATGAGAAACTACCTTCACTGGGATCCCTATGAACTGGGAGAACCCTCTTTCTCTCTCTCTTCATCTCTCCCTCTCCATGTCAGCAAGGCAGCACTAGTCGTCAGTGTGAGAACGGTTGCATCACAGCTCTCGCGGTTTCTTAGCCCCTGGCCCCTGTGTTTCTCGGTCAATCTGTGGGAACCCTGATTTTGGACGGCAGCCTCTGTTCCCACCACCAGTCTGGTTAGAAAATAGACTTCTGGTCATGTACCAGGCACCCAAACCGAGCCGGTTCTAGCCCGCTCCTTCTCACGGGTTTGGGGGAGGAGAGGTCAGCGGCTGCAGAAGAGGCCCTAATGGGTTTCGTATGCAGGTACCGCAGAAGCGACACGGGATACTGTGCTCATGAGAAATGAGAGGGTTTTAACGATTCTGTGCTCTTTCCAAAACACTCCCTCTCTCCCCTCTCTCTCTGTTTTTCTCTGTCTTCTGCATTTCTCCCTCTCTGTCTGCCTCTCATTTAAATTTATAAATAGTGCTTTAATCTTTCTCATCTTCCTGATTAATTGAAGATAAAGTTGTGTGAAGGACAAGGCTTGGTTTTGTTACAAGAAAAATCAAAAGACGTTCAAACGAATGATTGACTTGAGTAGTAGTTTTTCTTCAATGATTCTCATTGTTTTAGTTTTTCTTCCCAGTGACGTTCACAATCATGCCTCCAGTTCTCTTTATATTTCATCCACTTAAAATGCAATTTTCTGTGTCGTCTTATAAACCAATTCATCATGCCTTCGACTACAATTGCATCCAGACGAGAAGCCTCATCCAGGAAAACGTTTCCCCTTCTTTCCTGGAGAGTTACAATTTTCGGAAGAAGAACAGCATAGCGGGAACAGGGGAGAAGATGAAAAAAGCAGCTCCAGCTTATGTACGTCCATGACAAAGAGATGGAGCCAGATGAGAGCTCCTCTGCTCCCCACATGTGGACGAGAGAGTCAGGTCTCACAGAGTGTGTGAAGACAGCTGGAAAATTCCCCTGAGCCTGGCCTAATTGAAAGCTTATCATCTTCTCTTTGTGCTTCCTGAGCGGTGGGGGATCAGCGAGGAACGACGCAGAGAGCAAACTCTGTGATGAGACCTGGAGGAAATAGTCGGGAATGCTTAAGACGGTGCAGATCTGTCATACACTCACACTGTGGGGCTCAGGCTGAGGGTGGTGTGAGATCTGTCAGCAGGGGATTGTGTGTGTGTGAGTTTCACTGTGCGTGTGTGGAAATGCTTTGAGTGTGCAGAGTTAATTGAATACAGTGTGTATCAAGGCTGCGTGTGTGCGTCCTGAGGCTTTGTTGTTCTGCCAACACTGCCCCCATAGAAGGCCTGAAGCAGACAGCAGCAGCCATACAGAAGGAAAGAAAGGACAGAATTGAATGAGAAGAAAGGATAAAAGAGTTGAGGAGTATAGACACAGGACAGTATAAACAGGGAAAATAAAAGAATAATTTGAAGAAGAAAAACAAAGCATTTAGAAGTGAAAGCCCTTTCATGGTACATCAACAGGTGGCATTAGTTTAAGAGTGAGGAATTGTGGGTATTGTATTTCAGGTTAACCACATTAGACATCTGAAATCAGACCACCCCACAAGGTAGCATCTCAAGTGTTTAATCTTGTGGCTCGGCATCAAATGGGCCAAACAGATGCCATCAGCGCCGCATAAATTAACAACCACATAGCTGGTAAAAAAGACGGCCGACATTCCAAACTTCTCCTGTATTGTTTTTAACAAGTGACAACTTGCCGACGTGCGCTAACATGGAGGCTGCCAGGGCGGTGTTGGATTCCTGAGCTGCGTTTTATTTACACTCTGGGTACCACCGTGTTGACAGCTGAGGCATTTTCAAACCCATGAGAAGTACGGGGTAATTGCCAATGAGAGTCTCACTAATGGAAGAGAAGACGATAATTATTAAAGGAGGTTATTGGGAAAGAACTACCAATGAACTGCCAGGGCTGTGAGACTGAGGCAGTGGCATGTGTGGCATTTACTGTATGAGGCTCAAGAAGAAGAACAGAATTTTGGATCAGAATGTGCTGGCATGAAATTGGGTCCCATGAACTTTTATGGTGTGTTTTTTTTTTTGTCCTGCTCATTTGTCAGCTGATGTGATGGTGTCTGGGTTTCTGGAGGTGAATTATACCCTGTGCCTCCATGTTTAACGTTTTCACTCTCAACACCTCCCCCTGTTGAACCATAAAAAGACCTCAAAATCCAGACTTTTGAGCATTGAGTTTCAAAATTAGAGAACTCTTACGGTATGCAATTGTTTTTATAGTAAAGTGAATAATGTAGAAGAATGTGGCCATAAATACTCAACCTAAATCTACCTCTAAGCTAAAAGAAAAATTATGTGTTGTTATAACTCTCGCCTGGAGCTTTGTTAATTAATTTTTTTCTTTTAAGTCACTGCAATGAAATAAACAGTGGTTGTGAAGACAAAAGTGAGACACATGTTTTTTAATTAAAATGATTAAAAACTACATTATCCGCAAACTTTACAAGCACTCAATAAGGAAGCATTAACGATATCATTACATACATAGATGAGATTCTTAAATTAACATATCAGTTTCAGATGTACATGCTTTGAGCATAAAGAGAAATGAAAGGAGCAAGATGAATTAACATTTTGTTATATGAAAAGGAAAAGGGGCAACATGTAAAAAGAAAACAAAAGGAAAAAGTAATATTGTGCTCTTTAATCCAATATACAATAAAATACAACTCACTTGTACATTTTGGCTTCCTAGTTTTGCATAAAGAATGATAGAAATCAGTCAAGACATGATGGATTTGCCACACATCTTTTCCATCATTGACATCCTTGACAGTATTACAGGCAAGTTGTGAAGATCTTTGGTTTTTCTTTTAAGGAACCACACAAATATAAATACACATGTGGTTTCTCTAGCTGCATGATTTTTGCCCATAATAAAGTAAGATCATCTATCGCATAAAGGCTCCAGAGGAGAGAGCAGGGAATCACGCTTTTCCTCTAAATCAAAGGGAGATAGGAATGAGACATTGTTACCGATTGTGAACAAACGAGGAATAAGGCAGAGGGTCTCTACAAAACCACTTGCATAACTTATTTTTTTTACCTGAGCTGCAAATGCAAGCCTTTTTGGATCACTATTCACTATGAAATTAAATGTCACTGCAACTAAATACCCATCTTTCAGACTCTTTCATGACTGCTTCCCTCTTGTGGAAGACTAGTCTAGTAGATATTAGACACCTGATACCTGCTGTAAATGACTATACACATCTCATAGCCAGATGATCTGTGCAGGCGTATGAATTATTGGCAGAGCCGTGAGCCCCTGGCACTGATGATCAGTAAATTAGACCAGAAAAGACAGAATCAGGGCCATAAAGGCTTCAAAGCACTCACTGATTATACAGAACAAAGGGACAAGGGAAAGTTTTTTGCATAACTGCCCTTGGTGTTGGTAAGAAGATACCACTCTGACTCCCTTCCTCCTTCTATCCCTTCATCCTCACACTTTTCCTCCTCCAGGGATAGAGGGATCACATGTATAACTGTAGGGGAAAGGCCCTCCGGACAGGGGGAATGTGCACACACACACCTGTGGTACAGGAATGTGTGTGTGTTTGTGTGTGTCTAATCATAAAATTATTAATTACTTAATGAAGAATTTGGTAAGAGGACACTTTGATTGTATTCAAGAAATATATGTTAAGGAATATTTCATATTTAGTTCGGCAGAGTTTCAGATATTAGTAAATACATAACCAAAAAAGAGAAATGAAAGTTCAAACATAGTGCAAAAATTAAGCAAATGGCTTACTTACGCAGAAAGGCAATTTGGAAATTGTTTAAAAGATTACGGTTCTAGATACACCATCTCACTAACAGAATCTGTTGGGCGTGGTTCATAAGGAATAAAAGTTTTTAGTGCATCAAAGCTACATTGGAAGACAAAACTATTACATTAAAGGTTTTGGTTTTTATAATTTAGTAGCAATATATTACACAAATTCCAAATTTATACTTAACAACAAAATATGGCATATATACTGTATATATATATATGTATATATATATAAAAGGAAAGGTAGAAATGCTTAAGGATTTCGAGTATATGCGCACATTTCCTCACAATTTGGCTCAAATAAATATCAAAAGTAAACCGTGTCATCCAGTTCAAAAAATACCAGACTAGGACTTTTTTTCAGAAAAGGGCATGAGTAAGAAATCTAAAAAAAACAGTAAAGAGTAGACACAACAGGACTTAAATATTCCTGCAGAAAAAGATAAACACTCCTCTGTGTTAGTCTTTTACATTCCTCAAAACATCAGCCATTGTCCTGTTGTAACTGGATACAATGATGACACAGCAAAGGAGAATTCATTTCTTAAACACGTGAGTCCTCACAAATAAAATGCTTGTCTCTCAGCGATTGTGTTGAAACATCCACTGCATACCGTAGCACCAAAGGCTAATGTGTTCATTTGGATAATAAATTAGGCAATAAGGTTCTGCATAAGTACTGTGAGCACATGACAGACCCATGGATGCAACTGAAGATGTTTTCACAACTGACAACAACATTTCTTGTAATATTAAAATTTTTACAGAAATTAAAGCTTAGAAGGACCGATTGCTACAGCAGTGCAGCCATGCCTTGGAAGGATGTTGGAGTCACTCGGGGAGCAAACATCCGGTCCGACTGCTCTTCTCCACCTACCAAGTGAGTTGGATCAGTCTGAACATTTGATGAATGTCTGCTGTGGTTTTTCAGTTCATCGGCTGTACTGATTGATCATACCGCCATTGTCTTTTTGTCTTTAACGAGAACCTGTTTACACCAAACAAGTGATGCTGAAAGGTTACTATGGCTTTTCTGGTTTTACCCTCACATCTATTTACAGTTCAGCCGAACATAATCTCACCTTTTATGGCTTTTATAGTCCTTTTAAGAGTATATGTTTTAGCACAGTGCAGGAGTTCACTCAAAATGTACAAAATACATGGAAGTCTTGAGAGTTGAACGCAGAAAGTCTTTAAAGCGAGTGCCGGAGAAATAAAAGACAAACATGCAGCATTTCTCTTTTTTTTGTTTGGTTTTTTTTAACTTTCAGTGTTTTTTGTTCATCGTCCTCTTTACTTTTCCTCCCTCACTTCTCCTGCACCCCTTGATAGTCTAGCTGTCTGTCAGTCAGTAAGGCCTCCAGACGGACTCATCCAAACGGCCCGAGGCGCTCATGGCAGTGGGGGAGTTGCTGTGGCTGCCATCGGCCTCTACGCCTTCGCTCTGGGTGTTCAGGCCCGGGTTCATCAGGCTGTTGGTACCTCCGGCGCCCGTGGCCCCCGAGCAGGACAGCAAGCGGGTGGGGGAGCGCTCGCCCCCGGTGTTCCCCGGCGCCACCATGGAGAACTGGTAGGATCCAGAGCCTGTGCCGTAATACAGGTAGGAGTTGGATTGGAAGTTCTGGGATTGGTTGTTTGAGTAGGGGGGTGGCAGGTAGGTGTGGTATCTAGAAGAGGCTGGCATGCTGAGGCCACTGATGCCAGTGCTGGAGGTGTTGGCGGAGTATGGGAAGGCCCCAGGATAGTGCATGCGGGGGTCTGAGAAGCGAGGGTCAGTCAGCGGCGACAGAGACGGAAAGGTGGTCCTCTGTTGGAAGAGATCTGTAGTCCCTGTTGGCAAAAACAAAGACACAAAAGGTTGGAAAGAGTCAACAAACATTCATCCATGAATGAAAACTGCTGGTGTGATTATGAAACAAGGGGCTCAGAGATTTTTCATTTTCTATTATACTAAAAAACGACCCTCGTCTACAGAACAGAAAACTTCCCCAAACCCCCAACTCCAAGCTCAGATTTCTTGCGATATGTCTGTCCATGGAAATGTTTGCTCAAAGTAATGAACTGAGACATTTTTTTGCTTAATAACAGTCATCAAACACTGACAGCACATCATCCCACAGCCCTGTGCACAAGACTGAAGTTATGAAAAGGCCCCCTTGCCACGGCCCTCCTACCACTCCTTCAAAAGCAGAGCAACATACTGTATTCTGTCTTTCTCAGAGCAATGAAAAGAGGCATTGTCAGTGCTGAGGGGTGCTTTGAATAAACACCGACGGCTTGTTGTGCTGTTGCGCAACTCATCATAAATCATACTTGGGCGACAGAGGCAGAGACCACCATCAGAGACAGACAGAGAGACAGAGAAGGAAAATAAAAAAGGAAAGAGGGAAGGAAGGAAGAGAAACAAAGAAAAAAGAGTGTTTCTGTGTGAATATCCGCTAAACTAATGTGTATCACAGTCCAGTCCAGGACCTGTCAGAGTTAACTGCTAAATGTAATCTCACAGGTAACAGAGCACTGTGAACCCAGCTGTTTGGACTTCAATTTCACTGCACACTTTCTAATTTATTCAGCTGACAAAAGGGAAATAAAAATATCACTCAAGGGTTTGACTTGGCAGTTTGGTTCTCTGAGATTTGGGGCCGCTACTGTCACCAAGTTAGTTCCTTAAGTCAAACACCACATTGCCCCTCTCACTTAACTGAGGAGTATTGTTGGCTGATCTTACATCCTGAACTTCGGATATGAACCCATTCACAGTTCTGCAGTAGGACTTTTCTACGCCACCTACTGTAGTATTTGGGTTTGGGGCCTGGCACAGAGACAATTATGTTCCATATTTCTGCTGTATTATGTAAGTTAGAAGGTAATCCGTTTTATGAGCACCAAGTCACTGAGGCAATGCTTAGTAAACCTATATTGTAGTTAGTAGTTTTGCACTGGCAGTGTCGGCACCCTGCAATATAATTTGAATTAGAGGTGTCTCGAATCTTGAAAATGTCTTGTCTGGCAAGTCAAGCATGTCGAGTCTTAACTGTTTTATAATTAAATATCATGACACTCAGATAAGTTAAGCAAGGAAGCCAGGCCAAAATACTCTAGAGCTGTAAACGCCCTTAACCTGGTTGTATGCCATAGTGACTAGAGAGAGTTCCTCATACCTGATGTCAACATACAGTATGCTCCGTCCACACCTGCTGCTCTTACACACACACTCATACGCTCACACACACCTCAGTCCATGGTTATTTGTTTGTCCGCATGTGGCTTTCATGGGTCCAATGTGCCCACATGACTGCAAGTGTAAAATGTGGATTTGGATGGCAGAGAAAAGAGAGCTTGTATTTGTGAAATAGCAAGCGTTTGCACGCCACAGCCCTGAGGGGGGAGAATGCCAAACTTGCGTGCCACAGTCTTGTTGAAATGTCTTTTCCCTATGTCTGGAGAACTGGGTCCATTTTCAGCTACAAAAAAATCTGTTCCTTTGCAATTTCCATGGCCTCTGCTATACTTTTTTTTTCAACAACACATTTCTGCAGTTGAATTTCCTCTTCTTTTTGGGATGAGGGAGTTTGGTGGTGGTAGGGGGGCTGTTTCTTTTTCCAGAGTCTACCAGGCACCGGAGTCGGGCTGCATATCTGATTTCACGCGAGGAAAATCCAAGCCTTCAGCTGCTGTTGATTCGGGTGAAGTGGAGTCGGCCCACTAATTCCTACCGGACTCCCAAAAAGTCTCTCTCTCTCGCTCTCTCTCTCTCTCTCTCTCTCTCTTTGTCTGTCCCTTCATCTCTTTCTGTCTGTGCTAAATTTAGGCTTCAGCGTGAGGCTGGGGAGGGGTTGTGTGGCATGGGGACTTGATTGCCCTCGCTGCTGCCGCCCACCCCGCACATGATCTCCATTTAATTGGAGTTGGTGGAAACGTGTTGGCTAAACTGCGGTGGGGATCGACTCCTGTGTTCTGTCAGGGGAAACTGGACTGGACACTTATCACAACACCTTAATGGGCTTGTGCAGTATCAAGCTCTTGGCTCTGAGCCTGCTACCACCTTAAACCCTCTACAGCACAGTAGCTCCCTCTGGAGGAGAGGGCTGAACAAACTGTTTTGTAATTGAGAAGCAAAGTTGTGCAGTCTGCTTTTTCTCCTTCTTAACCATGTTGCATACCTTACTGCATCCCCACCCTCCCCCACCCAGTATAAGTACAGGCTTCGCTGTTGTGGCTGTGGTAACCGTGGTGTATCTTTGGCAGAGAGGGTCTTCCTAACTGAGCCTAGTAGTAGCTGCCTGTAACCTCTGTGGCCCAAAACCACACATGATCTCCATTAGGCTCATCTGAAATGTGTTGACTAAATTGCAGGGACAGGAGAGGGGATGGACCCCAGAGGGCTAGCTGGCACAGTCTGCTGTCTGTGATGTTCCCAGTCTATGAAGCGGGTAGCTGGGAATCAGGGCTTTTATAGAGAACATAGTGTTCCAGCCTTCTCTTTCCTTCTCTAGCTTTGAAGCATAGCGCCACTCACTTATTTAATTCTGCAACACCAAGGGTGGAGTCCTCCTCCTTTCTGCTTAGCTCCAGTAGTCCACTAGTCCACAGTCAAGCGTGTAACCCAGATATGACAGGAGGTTTGCCTTATTTGCGTATGGGAGAAACTGATTTTGGTTGTTAACATAAGGGCAAGTTTGAGGCGGTCATGTCCATGTGTGTAATTGTGCACAGAGTTATGTGTGTCTATGCGTGTGTTGTCCGCATGTGGTGGCTGGCAATGGGGAGATGCAAATCCAGGCGCTCACCTGTGAAATGTTTACTCAGGCTTGATGCAAACTGTGACGGCCAGTGCCCAGGGAATGGTGTCTCAGGCAAATAAGTGGAGGGAAGGGAAAGAGAGAGAGAAAACCCCAGGCTCGTCCAGCTACGCTACGTAAAGACACTCCATGCTGTGTGCAGTAAGACTGTTTTTAATCTATCATTAAAAAAACAAACATTGATGCACTGCAACTCCTTCTAGAGGTAGAGAGCTTCTCTTTGATTTCTTGGCTGGTTTGGGTGGTTTTAACAGTGGATGCCATGAACATGAGCAGTCATTGTTGATAACAGGGTGATAATGACAAAGCAACACCACGCCAGGGCAGAACTGCTGACGCACGGGGCCAAAGAATAGGAGACCCAAATGAACACAAATGATCTCCAGGTGTTTTTTTAAGCAGCAAGGCTTTGGGGCCGGAGCATCATGTCGAATGCAAATGATAATCACCTCTGTACTGTGGCACCATGGTCAACAGCCCCAAAGCCTCATCCATGTTTGGCACTTTTTCATGTGAGCACAGAGGATTTTGCATGTCCTCAACTTGTGACATGCAGTACAAGCAAAGGTAAAGGAAGTTTGTGATTACAGAAAACCTGAGATTTTCCTAATGCATCAACAAACTAGGTGACATAATTAATATGTTTGTTAAGTAAATCCTTTTCTATGAGAGATATGATACTTCCTTGTGAAGCCAGTGTCATGGTGTGTGTTTTGCTGACCCTAGACCATGTATACTGTTATTGTTAGGATAAAGGTGTATGAAAAGTAGCATCATCATTTATTACACTTACACATATATCTCTGTCGCATTGTCTTTACTGTCTAGATGTCCTGGCATTTTAAGTTTAGGCTGTAAGGTCTTAAACATATGCTTTTACTAACCATCACTGACAACCACATTTTTCACACCATCATAATTGTCTTGGTCTGCAGTAAATCTCTTGCTAGAAAATGCCTTGCAGCAGTAAGATTGGTAAATATGTAATTCTCAATATTCTGCTTCGGGCTTTGAATTGCAAAAAAGAGAAACGTCTTTTTGTTCTTTCTTCCGTGTGTGTGTCCTCATCACAGTGTGAGTGGATGACTCAGCATGTCTGGTGTGATGTGGTGGTTTTTTGGTAGGGGATGGATAGGAGACTGAGGGGGCTGTTAGACAGCAGCAAAGATCCAAATCCCCAAGAAACAAATGAAAGAAAGACGGAGTGGGAGGGAAGGAAGAGGAAGGCAGGCAGGGTGGTGGCGTTCTAGGAATGTTCTGGGGTGTTGTAGAGCCCTACGGGCATAACGAAACAGACTCCAAAATTGTCACAACGAATGGCACACCCTGTGTTATGCCCGCCTTTCTCGCTTCTCCTCCTCAGTATTGTTTGTTTCAATTTGAAAGGCTGTCAGAGTGTCTCCTAATTAGAATGAATTAGTTTAGAAAGATGTGCGATTTGAAAGGTGTGAACTGTCTTTGGCGGTCCAAAGTATCTCAATTATCTCCTCTGAGCCTGTTTTCTTAGTAATTAAGGCCATTGCTTATTATTGACGTCACCCCTCATGTTGCTTGTTGATTGGGCCACACATTATGATAATGTCTCAGCAACCAGCAAACACCCATGACAACACTTTCCCAGATATGCATGTAGACGCACTTTCTTCATATTCAGATCGGGGTCAAATTAGGAAAGCCAGGCATTATGCGAGGAAAGTTAAAAAGAAAGGGTAGCCCAGATCATAGTTAGAGATCTGTGTAATCTAGTCAAATAGTGGGCATAGAAGGGCATTGCAATGTCTTACCTGGCCATGGTCTCAGGTCCTCCTCCACCTTGCACGTCTTCAGAGCGGGGGCGTCCATTTGCTCCTGCCACAGTGCTGGTTTAACACACAATGGGAACAATAGGTTGAATTCAAGGACAACACTTGAATCTGCTTATAAGAAATATGTCAGTGGAGGAATTGTGTCTGTGCAGGAATGTGTAATTTTAGTATTTTGTGGAATGCAGACAAATGTGTGGGTTGTATATGTGTACAGGGTGAGGAAGTCAGACTGTGCCATAGAAATCTAAAGCATGACCCAAAAAAACTTTTCATGACAGACTTGTCAAAACTGTCTTGACATCTGGCGGTTTGGAGATGTGTCTTCCTGTCACAGGTTGGCCCCTGCTGACTGAGCAGTGAAGACTGGGAAGAGGAGGGGTGGTTTTCTCACCACAGTGAGACCAGGCTTGGAAAAACATGCTTGATGGGTGCATGGGAGATATTTTTGGGTCTTTTAGGCGAGACACTGGAGGGGCAGCGGAGACCTGTGAAGTGCAGGACACTCGCTAGCCTGTCCAGCCAAGCTGTCAGCAGGCGAAGGAGGGTCAAGGACCTACTGGCCCAACGCGTGGGACCCTGCTTCACACTCAGCGGCCACACCGCAGGAGGGGTGACACAAACAGGGTCTGTTTGCTCTAGGTCTGAGACGGTGCAGTTGTTACAAGAGAACTTGCACGGAGCTCTGTGGACATGGGCAGTCTCAGCACAGAAGTACAAGTCTACATGCCTTTCAACAGTGTTAGATATTGTTAAAAACAGTTTTCCTCAAATATACATACATATTTTCATCATAAACTCCACATTATATTACCACATTCTTTCTCATGGTGCTCTACTTTTAATAACAGCCATGTGGTATCACTATGACTCTGCTCTCCGCTGTTGAGATACCGCAATATAGTAAACTCCTAACCTCCTGTAGTGGCAATTAGGACTTAGAAGGATGCCAGAAGCAGAGAGGGGGGCAGTGGCGCTGGGCTGTTCACCTATAGCCACACTGGGCTCAGCATGTGTAAGATCTGTGCTTCCCCTGGAGCTCCTCCATTTCCTTTGCAAAGGCCCAAATCAGCACTCAGTCACTGAGAGGTCCTGCACTATGGCTCACAATGGCAAATTCTTACACATAAATGGCCTTATTCAGAAAGGCTTCCAAGCAGCTGGTGCGATTCGCTCAAGAAAATAAACATTTCCTTCAAATATTTTGATTGGCCAGCAGACAACGTCAATATGAGAGGCACAGATTACCCCTGTTAATAAGAGGACCAACCCCCTGGGCGGAGTTGAGGAGAGGGGAAGGCAGGGGCTGAAATGGGAAGAAGCGGCGACTGCGTCACTAATAAGAAGCTTTGGGGTGGTGCCAGTGTAGTTTTGGGGAGGACACAAATAAACACATGCACTGCTTTTGAAGTGCATGTGTAGATGAAAGAGCCAAAATGGCATCCATCCCCGTGACTCCGGATCCAGCAACGCCTCTGAGACATGTAATGCGCCTGCCGTAATGAAGCGTGTCATTGAGACACAGTGAATGCCGGTCCTTGTGCTGGCTTCCTGTTTCGCTTAGGCCTTAGGCGTCGCAACGGGGAGAGAATGTGAGAGAGCAAGCAAGAGAGAAAGAAAGACGCCAGCGAGGAAAGGAGAGAGAAAGAGAGCGTGTTAGAGAGGGGAGGAACACGGCCTTGGCTCAGCTATGTGGGACATTTGATATGTCTTTTGAGCCCTCACTTATAACGTGAGCAAAAACAAACACATGGGCTGAAAAATCCTATGTTCTCTTTGAGAGCTCGTCGTCCTCCCACCCCTGCCCTCTCCCCAGACTCAATAGAGACTGTTCATGGCACATATGTAGTTTCTGTAATTGCTGAAATGTAAAACGCAGCCTGACTCTGATGTGAAATTATAACTTACACAAACAGTTGAGTCTGGTTAAAAAAGAACTTGCTCTCACTTCTCTTTTTCTTTCTTTTCTTTTTTTCACCAAGGAGGCGGCTTCAAAAGATTCTTTTTTTTTGTTGAAGAACAAAAACATTTTCAGTTTGAATTATTCATCTCAGGGTCACAAAAAGAGAGTAACCACAAGTGAAGCTTTCAGGCACCATAACAAATAAACTCCGTGGCGGCCATTGACATATTATGTAAATAGTGGAGTGCAGAAGTAAAACAGAGTGTCTAAAGGACTGGTCCAGATTCCTGCTCGTTTTGGTTGTATTGGCCTCAGAGGGCCAGCTTCCTGCTTGGGTTTGGCAGAAATCAGCATGAAACCCAACTAGTGTGACGGCTACACTCAAAAGTCCACACCACAGCTACCTGACGGTGCTAATTTCCTGTCTCGCTCTTGCTTCTAATTGGCTGATCATGTCATTCTGGATGTGTGAATTAGTGTGAGCCTCTCGGCCGCGGCAGTAGCAGAGTGCCGCCTCGAACCTGGGGGGCCAGCCAGCTTGTTTATGTGGAGTAAACAGTGTGGTCACTGTGGACGAGGCGGGAGGGGCACGGCTGCTTTGGGCTGGTCCTCCATCAAACAGGACTTTCTCAAGTTTAAGTCCAGTCCAGAGAGGCCACAGCCTGAACATACTAAACAAGAGGGCCAACGCACAGCTGCAACAGATGTGTGCCAGTTGTGCAAGAGGAAGTACCAACATTTGTGTCATTAATAGAAAATGCTTTGCTTTTTTTTAAATTACAATCTGCAGGATGGATGCTGAGTACATTTCAAAAATGAAGATTGTAATATGTTTTTTCTGCAAGATCCGACTGACATTTTTAATAACATCACCACATGGGTCACACATTCAGACAGTCAGGCACACACTCACATTCACAAAGACACACACACACTTTTGGGCCCTCATCAAAGCATTGAGCACTTGACTTGATGGCGGAACGTTATGCTAGTATCTGATATTCATCTTCAGAGAGGAACACACAGGTGTTGGAACAAATAACATGTTAAACGATACCACCTCAAAAGTGCCAGGACTTTTTGGATGATTAAATTGCTGCTGTATTTCTTTTTCCCCCCCCCCTCTCTTACTGTTAAAACACATTTAAGTTAAAAGAGCCTCTTTCGTCTCGGCTGTCTGTTAGAGGCTGTGCCAGGGGCTTGTTGAGTTTTGTCTGCATTTAAAATGGAACAAGGTAAAAGTGGAATCCGTGCTCCACTTTGCACTTGGAGGAAAATCTAATTTTCTATCATCTATTTGCTTTACTTAAGAGTGGAAAGAACTTTGCATATATTATAAATGCAATGTCACGGTTAGATGTTAAAGGATGAATGACATTCTGTATCAGAAGAAAGAAAAAAACTGCCACCCACAGACACATAGAGTATACACATGTACCTCAGTTGAGGTTTTGAAAACCAGAATAACAATTTAGTACTTGATTGTCTGAGTGTCAGATTTGCCCGACTACATTAGTTGAACCACGCATTTTCAACCACACACACACACACACTCGCACTCCCTCCACCCTGGCTGAGAATCATTCCACACGTCTACCAGGCTTACCTGTGGCCACAGAAGAACAAAAACAAGCAGCGAATGCAGCGTCTGCCAGCGTGCAAGAATCCTGTCACTGCATGCACTGTAATGAGCTCTTAATTACCCTGTCTGTCTGGGGCACTAACAGAGAACTTGCAACACTAGCACAGAGTTGTGTATGTGTGTGTTTTGTATTTTCAATGTGCCTATGGTGCAATTGTCTGTGTGTGTGATTTAAGAAACCAGGGCAGCATTGAGCAGATGTCTGGAGACACGTCCTGTTGACAGGAAAACTGAGACAGTATTTCATAGCTCAGACAACAAAATGAAGCAAGGAGGCTTTAGGAGGAGATGACACTGTATTTTCTTATTTAGTCGTCTTCAAGGGGAAAATGCAAGGTTCCAGCCCCGGATAATGGAAAACATCTTTTGTAACAGCGAGACGGGAATCCATTTAATTATAACGTGTTGATGGGCGATCTATCACCCGGCAATTCTCAAACAAACAGGCCCGGGGATTTAAAGTATCTGCAAAATACAACAGTGTCTGGCAGGGCTGCCAAAAGCAGAGACGTGTGTGCTGTTGATATGTAAACACCTCCCTGTGTCTCTAAATGGGATTTATTACAACAAGTCTATTTTTGTTTGAGCTTCGCTTGTAATACTGTAGTGTTGTCTGTGCATGATTCCTACACATACGGGAGCGCTCTGTGTGATGTGCGCCGCGACATACATTTCCAGTCTACAGCTCAGACACTCCAGCAGATAGACGAGGTGGAAGGGAGACAGGCCCTCTGCTCTGTTATTTAATTATTTTACCACTCTTGCCCTGCGGTATGCCGTCATGATGGTAATACCACAGATTAAGGTGTGTGGTTTTTACAGCCCTACCCCTCGTCTGTCTCACTCACACACACTTCTTATAGACGGCCTACACTCACTGGCAGCTGTAACGTGAAGCTCAAGGCCTTTACCGTCTCTTGACAGTTCCAACTGATGTTAATGTGTTGTGTCTGCTCACAGTGTATGCACTGTACATGTGTGTGTTGCAACATCGCAGCCCTTTGAAGCCTGACAAGCCTATGACGCTCTAATTCCTGCCCTAATCCTGTGCGAGGCAGACGAGAGCAGAGCAAAGAGCTGCTCTTCGTCTGCTGTCTGGACCAAGTCTGTACACCTCTCCCTGCCGACTGGAGCCCCCCCCGTATTCAAGTCAGCCCTCAGAAACTTAAAGCTCCCACTATAAGCTTTGCTGCAGGGGGCTTTTTATTGGCAGACAACCTACACAGCTCACGCCAACCTTTAAACCATCAGAAAATTATCATCACAGTGGCTGTATTGTGTTGAGGCTCCACAGTGTTTACTTTCAGCGTAACCGGTCGGTGGTGTTTCTAAAATGGCTGACATGTTTTCACCTCGGTACAGGCTGTGCGGGGGAACAAAATCAATATCAACAGTAAGTAAGGACATGGGGGTGGGGGCCAGGGTAGATGACCCTGTGTTCCCCACAGTCAGCTGTTAGATAGGCACATACTGGTGACTCAGTGCTGGCTAAGCTAAGCACAAGGCCAAACAGTGTATGGTTGTGATACAAACTGATAGAGTTCCACCCACACACGGTCCAGAGCTTCCAAACAAGCCCTCCTGTACACAGCAACATGCTGATACAAAGGTAATGAGATTCATTAGCTAGCATGAGAACTAGAGAGTGGGTGGGAGACGAGGGCACACTATGTATGTGTGTGTGTGTTTAGCCTGCTTGCTTCCAGACATGGCATCCTGTTAAAGAGACTCTGACATATGAGAGAGAGAGTGAACACTCATCCTCAATCCGACCATCACCCCCGCAGCTGTCCACAGCACACACACATATGCATAAAACAACTCCCTCCCCTCCATCGCACCACCTCAGTCTGAGTCTCACCCCCCACGCCCCCGCACATTCGACCAGTCTGAGAGTGACGTGATTGCCAAGGTAGCGGGTGGCTGTTACATTCCTGGGGCTGTAGTGCGCGGTGTGCGGAGGCCAGCTTCAGCACCCAGGCCAAGCTCGGTTGGCAGCACCCACCATGCCACCTGGCCACAGACTCAACCCTGCACGCTGTGGGGCCCGGACCCACCAACGCAGGGCATCCGGGGACAGAACTGACATGAGCTTCCCCTCGGACAGCCAACACATATAACAGATCCCAGATTAGTGGAACAGAACTCGAAAACCCCCCATGGAGGAAACGCACATGAAGTGCTCTTGGCTTCCTTTAATGCTGGGTGAACGGCATGTACTGTTGATGTGTAACAGATTTTTATTACGGATTACTTACCCTCTGGCCAAATAAAACTGAATATGTTTGTTTTATTAAAGGAGTTGTTTATTTCTAAGTAATGGCGGTTAATGTGAGATGATTTTACAGTGTTGTGGTGATTTTGGTTATGGGGATGTTGGTTGCTTGTGGTTGTATGTATCAGTGGTCCTCACCTTGTGTGGTGCCGAGGTGGGTTTGGTGGATGGGGCGGGGATTATTGTTCACTGGGCCTATTCGCATACTCCGCTGGTAGCGCTCGATCTCAGACAGTCTGTCCGAGAACTGCATCTTCTGGGGGTCTTCTATCTTCACTCTGTGCCCTGAAAACAGCGACATGAGGAGGACGGGTAAGAGAGAAATCAAGGGCTTGCCAATTTACCACCTACACAACCAGGAAAATGGCACTTTATATTTCCAGAATTGTACAAAAATAGCAACAACAATAACAAGAGTCCTGTTGGAAAACCTTTCCTTCTCCTAAATTTCTTAATGGAGCCGGGCAGTTTGACATGCCTTGGCAAAATACTTCTCTTTGCCTGTCTAAGCTGTAATTAGTGTAAAATTGACTTGGACTGTGAAGACCATCAATATCCTCCACTCACACAGGAGGAAGTTATATAAGGGGGGAGAAAGACACTGTCACCATGTTTTCAGCTTCCAGATACAAAAATATTATTTGAATGTTAGCAGACCTTGAAATACATTGGCTAGACACTACTGTAAGTGTTACTCAAGCTGCACCTGCTGCCGCGTCATCAACAGATAACACAGATAACGACAGTGGTTGAAAATGATTGCTTTAGGAATGCTGTTTTCCCTGAACCTGCAGTCTAATAAATAAAAAAAAATTATTACTTGCTACATTAGGCATTTCTATGAACTGATGAAATGAAGTGATCTTTTCTTACCATGCTTAAAAAATAAGGAGTAGATCTACCCCCAGCAACAACCCTTCTCACAAACACCCACACACACATTCAGGTCTGACTGACACAGCACTTAGTCAGAAGGAAACACCCAGACAAGACTACCAGACCATATAGTCATCAGTTTTAAACATAACGGATAGAAAAAAGAAATAGAAAGACAGAAAGAGAGCTTTTTTATGTGTCTGTATGTGCGTGTGTGTGGGCGGGCTGGCAAGCAGGAGGTGAGAATTAACTCTGCTTAAGTGAAGCGTATCTGCTGTATCTCTTTTATCCAGATCCGGAAAACTAACCAACACACTTAGTGCCCTTATCACTTTGGTGTCCCGTTCAGGGAGATGGTAAGAAAAAAAAAACTCTGATCATGCCTTTTATGTAGACACACACATGTACGCAGACATGTACCAATACACACACACTTTACACACTCTACATGTGAACACACCTTAAATGTCAGACGTGAGTGCCGATGAGGGCTATGCCTCTAATGGGAGGAAGAGATTTTAATGTAACTATCAATGCACCAAAACTGTGTGTGAACCAGCATGTATACATTCTGTGGTTTTCTCCCTGGTATCTCTACAGAGTAGCCTAATGTGAAGTAATGGCTGGATTTGAATATTTTATCACTATATAAAGGGGGCAAGACAGACGGACCAATATGGATTTTGCCCGTCCTTTCTCTCCACTGACCCATGGGCAATATATCTTCCCTCAGAGGCTGACCCATGGGTAAAGTTTCCTCTCGTTTACCGCTCTGTCCATTTGTTTGTGCCCACCACCTCCCCTCCATCCTCTCTTTACGAACTATATAGAAATATCTAACACTGACGGCCCCCAATACACATGCATACAGGTACACAAAGGGTACGCGGGCACTGACACAATGTCTGAACACAGGCAGGCACTGAAATCAAATCTCTCCTGACCAAAATCAAAGTGCAGCATAGAATGCTGTTTTATTCACACCCACTGATCAACAGTTACGTTGCACTTTACGTGTGTGAGGAAGAAAAAGAGTCAGTCATGACTAATGTGTCTGAGCAGAGACAGCAGTTCTGTTGCTGCTCTCCAGATGTTTGTTTTCCAGAGCATTAGGACGTTGGACGCCAAAGGAAAGGAACAGTGTGTGTGTGTGTGTGTGTGTTTGATTCCACCCGCCGGCTCACCAGTTTGCTCCGTGCAGTTACTCAGGAACACATCCTGGGCGGACACACACCGACACACTCACTCTGTGATATCTCTTTTATTCACACTCACATGTGGGCCACTCTGCCATCTCTTTAAAATATGATGGAAGGAATGAAGGCCTGCATACTCACTCTCTCTTTCTCTCTCTCCTTCACACACAACACACACACACACACACACACACACACACACACACATATATACAGCGCCAGGTCCAGGCTCCATCACCCACATAGACACTGTGGCTACTGTCTGTTCCAGGCCAGAGCAGGGGCGGCCAGGGGAAGCAGCCCTCCAAATATAGCCCCTATATGTGTCCTTGTGTAGTTATTAAGAGATTTACACCACCTCAAACGGCTGAGGTCAGGGAAATGATACATCCCACTGCTCTCTGGTTGGAAAAAAAGACAGACGGCAGCAGGAAAAAAATCATAATTGGTCAGTTTTGCTGTGGCCAATGGTGGTCTAAGATGAATTGGCTGGTTCTTTAGGGATGAAAGTGATCATTCAGCTGCCCGCAAACACACACACACACACACGAGTACTAGTTGTGGATCCTGTGTCCCCTTTCCAGTTGGCAGGGACACACTGAGTTTGGTGACAAACTGTTTCAGAGCTTCCAGTAGGGGGTTTAGTGGGCTGTGAGACGGTGATTTTTGGGAGAGTGGAGGCTTTATTAAAACCAGGCCTGAAGCTTATTAACCCGGGGCCCACAGTTGCTGTTAACCACTAATCAACGGGGAGGCAGCTTGAAACTTTCTTTTTCCCCATCTCCTCTGCTTTTCTCTCTGCCATTGTCTCTTCGATGCTTATAAAAAATTAGTTTTTCATAAAAATAATGTATACTATACGTGATTTAAAGTGATTCTAAAAAATAAATCATGTGACTGTATTTCTCCGCATTTACTCTTGTTGAAAGAAAGCAGTGTTATTCAGTGTAGAAAAGTTTTTTATGACTAAATCTAAATCATTACAGTCTCTGCAACAGAGCACCAGAGAAACTTGGCCTGTATCTTCCAGTTAAACCTTGTGTTAACGCGCTCTCTTTGGCCAGTTGACCCTGCCTTTAGCCACAGTGTGTCTGCTCCGACCGCCAACATTTGACTTCTACTCTGCAAGTCCGGGGGCCAGAGGGGTGCCGGCGCTCCATGACGGCCCCATTTCAGAGGGGTTTCTGTGGTTGGATGAATATTTAATGTATCAGGGTGCACTTAGGAGAGAATGCCCTTGTTTTTCTCTCTATGATATCATAACCACAAGATAGAGCTGGGAGATGGGGGCCAATGCACACATGAGGCCTAAACAGCAGCGCTCAATACGCTCCAAGAGCTGAAATGGATGCTAAAGGTTGTAGATTTACTAGCCTCCTCTCAGAGTAGCGGCCGCATCATCTGAAAGCATTATGGAAGTCTATGAAGAACAAATAAAATGCTTGATATAAAATGTCTGGTATTAACGATGTACTGAAGGGCGATGGCTGTGTTTTGAAGAAATGGGTGTGCCGTTCTCAGCCATGCTTAGTTTTGTGTGTGTATGTGCGTGTCTTTATTTCCTGACAGTGTCATATCTTCGCTGCAGAATAACTTGAGATGTTGCTGTGCCTTTGTGCCCTGGTGCTTTGAAGAGTATGGAGACAGGTTCAAGTGTTAAGTGATGTGAGAAGTGTGAAGTTATTTTTCATGAGATTGCACCCAGCGCTCTAAGACCAGACCACATGAACGGTTAACTCCTCCAGACTTTTGCCCAGCCTTGCCTCTATAAAGCCTGTATCAGCTCAACACAGAGACAGTGTTTGCTCAGTGAGGTGACAGCCAGGCCTTAAACACCAACGCCACAGCTGAATGATCACCCAATACGACCTGTTTCCTTCCGTCATCCCCTACTTTTTCTCTACTTCTCCTCTCTTTCTCTCTGCCTCTTTGTCTCTGTCTCCATTGAAAGAAAGAAACATATGTTCCCTTCCAAAGGGAGATACATTAAACACAAGCTCTTTTTAGTAAAGGGCTGGGTGCTTTTTTAGGGGCAAAGTGAAACTCTATCTGGACGGCAAAGGGCAATACGTGCTTTGGCCTCGGCCCAAGTCTGCACTGAATATATTTGAAGTGTAAATATTTGTATTCGACGTATAAATGGACTTGATAGGCCCCTGATAACACACTAGAATTGATTTGGAGAGCAGGTATCACACTG